CTAACCAACTCGCTTCGACCTTCAAGGGCAGGGCAGAGCTGCCCTGTGCGTTTCTGAGACTGTAACTCAGTGGAAAACCCCATTTTTTCTCCTTCGGAGTTGCTGGTGGATTTGAACTGCTGAATGTGGGATCTCGGCCCAATGTGTAACCACTATGCTACCAGGGCTCCTCTCAGAGGAGAGACTTGGCAATCTACATACAGCCGTGGGAAACCCTCCAAGAAACCAAATTCTCTGCAGAGCGACCGTGCAGGACAGGATGAGTGTGACTGGGGAGGGGGGCAGAGGGGGGCTCCATCATTCTCCAACTGGTGGTTTCCCTTAATGTGTGACCCCCTGTTGGAACCCCCAGGACATACCAATCCCAAAAGGAAGCCCCCAGGGCCAGTGCATGCTCACCCCCACTCAACCGAAAGGGGCGGGGCGATCGCTAAGACGCAGAACCCTCCCTGCCTGCTAAGACTCTCGGGCTCAGGACATGTTGCTCCCTTGGGTGCAGGTTGGTGGGTTTTTGTCCTTAGAAAAGGTTTTCTTCCACTTCTTTTTGCTGTCTGCCTCGTGGGGCAACAGGATCATCGCCCAGTGACTCATTCTTTTTCTCTTTTTTTTTTGCAATTGTCTCTTCACTCTGCTTGGTGATTGCTTCACGTACCGCCCCACTGCAGCCGCCCCAGCTTGCCTTTGGTGATTGGCCAAGTGACGGGGTTCACGCGTGTATCCCTCTCCAAGCCTCCGTCCTTCTCATCATGAGAAGGAATAAAATGCACGGGCGTTGGGAATCTGGGGTCGCTTCTGTCCCCTGGAGACGCCTTGGGTGGTCGCGTGGGGCCGTGCTCCCCTGGGGTTTTCGAATCCCCAGTGACTGGTCTTTCAGAAGTGGCTCCTCAGCCCTTTCTCCCAGGGTGCCTCTGCCTGAACTTGAAACACCAGCCTTTCTGTTAGCGGCCAACTGAGTGGACTGTTTGGGGCACCCGGGGACTCCCCCAGGTGGGTGTTGCTGGTCCGTCTGACTCGTGCAGACCCCGTGTGCAGAGCGGGACAGCCCCATTAGCAGATGGCCACCTGGCTGCCACCTGGGGCACCTCCAGGGAGATGGGTTTGAGCCTCTACCCTTGGGCGGGTCCTCATGAGTCTTCCGTACTGTGTCTCCCAGACACCTGGCGAGTGTATGAACGCAAACCCCAACAAACAGCTAACCACAGTCACTGCCATCGAGCCGATTCCAGCTCAGACTGGCCCCACACAGACCAGGACTGCCCCTGGGCCCACACACAGACCAGGACTGCCCGTCTCCACACACAGACAGACCAGGACTGCCCCTGGGCCCACACACAGACCAGGACTGCCCCTGGGCCCACACACAGACCAGGACTGCCCATCTCCACACACAGACAGACCAGGACTGCCCCTGTACTCACACACAGACAGACAGAGCAGAACTGCCCCTGTACCCACACACAGATAGACCAGAACTGCCCCTGTCCCCACACACAGACAGACAAGAACTGTCCCTGTCCCCATATACAGACACAGTAGAACTGCCCCATGGGGTATCCAAGTGCATCCCCTTTGCGCAAGCAGACCACCCCATCTTTCTACTGCGGGGCAGCTGGAGGGTCAAAGGGCCAGGCTTTCCATTAGCAGCCAAGCACTGTCCGCACAGAGCCACCAGGGCTCCTGTGACAGCCCGTGTGACAGCCTGCGTGATCACTGTCCCAGCCAAGGTTCCCCTGACAGCCAGCCCGACCAGGAACCACCGCTGTGCCCAGCGCTCGATGGCCACGAAGGGGGTGGGCGAGCAGGCCACGAGGGCTGCACTGAGGTCAACTTCTGGAAGGGCTGTAGCGGGAAAGGTAAGGCAGTGTAGAAAAGTAACACCCCAGACTGTCAAGGTCAGTGGGTGGCTTATGTTGAACACAGGAAAGCTCAGCCAGGGCTGTTTTGGCTGCAGATCAACCTACAAACGCCAAAAAGGGCACACCGGGTCACCCTGGTGTTGGTTTGCCTTCTTCTCTTACGCTTCTCCGTCCATCTGGGCATCTGGGGGTCAACTCCACAGCTGCTGGGGTCAGACGCGGACATTTCAAAATAGTTCACATCTGTGGTAATGAGTGCCTTCTATTAATAAACATGAACCCCCAAATTCACTGCCATCAAGTCCATGCTGACTCCTAGCGACCCCCGGGGGCTCCCGAGACTGGAGCTGTTCACAGGAGCAGGAAGCCCAGTCTGTCTCCTGTGGAGCTGCTGGTGGTTTTGAACTGCTGACCATGTGGATCGCAGCCCAGTGCGGAAACACTACACCACGAGGGCTCCATGATAATCAATACAGCAAATGTGAACACTCCAGCCACTTTTAAGGGGCAGGCTTATCTCTGTAAGGCTTGGACTCATTTATAGACGTGGTATATACATCTTCAGTTGGTTAAGTTGCCTTTCTACATTTAAGATATACTTATTCGTGGAGCCTTGGTGGCACAGTGGGTTACAAACTGGGCTGTAATTCACAAGATAGACTTATTCATGCATATTAAAACATACAAATATATATGTTTAATATATCTTATAGTAAAACATATCCATAAATAATTATATCTATAAACATATAGATGTACTATGTATATAGTAGAGGATCTATATATATAGTAGAGGAGCTATGATGGTGTAGTGTTTATTTGATGGGCTGCTCACTAGGCCAGCGTTTCAAAGTGATATTCTATATCGTGAACATAGACAGTTACAGAACTCACGTGGTGAGACTGCTCACGTTCTTTGCACGTGTTATCAGGAGACACCAGTCCCTGGAGAGAGACATCCTGCTTGGTCAAGTAGGGGGGTTCCGTGTAAAAGAGAAAGATCCTGGAGAAGAGGTATTCAGTGTGAGTCCGGGTAGACTAGAGAACCAAATTCATAGACACTCATATGTGTCTAAGAAAGAGCTTTATATATAAGAACAATTGAACATCGAAAAAACATCCCAGCCCAGTCCAGATCAAGCCCATAAGTCTGATATTAGCCCATATGTCCAATACCAATTGATAAAGTGCTCTTGTTTTATTAACTTAGCTATTGTTTTATTATTATTTTATTATTATTATGTTTTTAAATCATTTTATTGGGGGGCTCGTACAACTCTTACCACAATCCATCCATCCATCCATTGTGTCAAGCACATTTGTACATATGTTGCCCTCATCATTCTCAAAACATTTGCTTTCTACTTGAGCCCTTGGTATCAGCTCCTCATTTTTTCCCTTATAAAGCTCTTTCATGACACATAGGAGTCTCCCTAGATTTGTTTCTCTAGTCTGCCCAGACTAACACAGTGAGAAAAAGACCAGGAATGTGGCTCCCAGGAATTTTTCTCCATCATGAAACGCACCGGCTCATTCCTCGAGGGCAGCCAGAGCTACCCTGTTTCCCCAAAAATAAGACAGTGTCTTATATTAATTTTTGCTCCCAAAGATGCTCTAGGTCTTATTTTCAGGGAGGTCTTATTTTGGGGGATGCCTTATATTTCAGCGAGAGACAAAACTGTAAGTAGGTCTTATTTTTGGGGGATGTCTTGCTTTCGGGGTAACACGGTAAGCAGCTCTTCGGGAAGCCTACCCCTCTCCACTCTGCAGCCCTCACCTTGCCCTTTCAGCCTTCTTTTTATTCTCCAAACTCAACGAACATCGAAAAGGAACATGATGTGAGTCTCTCCGGGAGGTCCAAGCAGGTATTTTGATGTGGTGTGACTCAAAGCACACAGCACTCTTCAGGGAAGGGGCAGAGAAAGACTGCCTGTGAGTGAGTAGATCTCGGTGGAGCTAGACGAAATGAGTGCTTCCCAGTGCGGTCTTTCTGTTTAGTGGAGGTCCCCATGATTTCGCAGCAATGCTTTTTAACTTACCCTGTATACGTTGTTTACAAGAGGCACCTCTTAGACCCTCCAAGGGTCTAAGGAAAAGGATGAAAAAAATTATGTCATGCAAATAATA